CCCCAAAACCCCAAAACCCCAAAACCCCAAAACCCCAAAACCCCAAAACCCCAGATGGGGTAAAAAAATTGAAGAGATTCATGCCAAAGCCCATAATAAAATTTTGGTTGGTAGTTCAAATTGTAGAAGAGTATAATCTTGGGAAGCATCTTAGGAGGCATACTTGAATTTCTTCACTTCCTTCCTGCCCTTCTTTGACTTCCCTTTGTTTGATTTCTCAGGTATAGGGCCGACAAAGTCTGCTTCACTGGAGCTAGCTTCATCTGTTGAATAAAGATGATCATGATTTGGACTAGCCTCATCGCCAAGCTCTTCACAAGATGTGCTTTGAAGAAGATTACCGAGTTTTGAGATAAACTTCTCAAAATAGTGCTTAATAGATCTGGTTGAGGAATTGTTGGGTGACTCACCAGTTAAGCTAACACCGGTAATGATATAGAATAGTTTTAGAATAATTCTAATCAAGATATTATGATTCTCATTAATCTCTTGGAATAGATTTGCCTGATACTTAGTAATAGTATCATTCGTAATCAAAGGTTTGTTCTTCTGGTCTCCTCTTAATAGCTTTTGGATCAGACTTTCAGTAAGTTCATTGGTGGGCAAACCAGCTTTGGAGTGCTCCTTGCAGTTAGATCTTTTGTTACTTTTAGAAGATTTCTTATGCGAGGAGTAAATTCTGACAAGTTCCCTTTGAGTATAATCATCCTTTTCGTTGAAAGAGAATCTGAAGAGAATGAAGAAGAGAGGAATATATAGGAAAACAAATAAGGTTCTATTGAAATGAGAGTTTAGACCAGATCTTAGCTCTTTCTCAGTCTCTTCCAAACTACAGTCGATAGTTATATTTACTTGAATCCCTCTTGATTCATAGAAATGACTTTTTATGAAGAGTACTAAGTGCTCTTCAGTACATTGATAACTTTGATGGATTTCTTGGGTTTCTAGAGCTTGTTGTTCTGTAATATCATTGGCTTGTTTTTCAACAAATCGGACAGATATATCTCTTGGCAAAACTCCATTATGTTGCTCTATGATCTTTCCAACTTCTTGAGCAATCCTATCAGGAACTTGTAGTTTGTGACATACATTGTTTTGGGATGGGACAGACTTAATAATTTGGTTGTCGTCAACTCTGACCACTTCATCAATTTTCCTGAACTGGCCATTAGACATTTTGATGAAGAGCTCTTCACCTTCTTTAAGTATCGGATCTTTGGAGTCTTCTTGCTCAATAATTTTAATATTTTGAGTTGGTACCACCTGCTTTGAAGCTGATCTAGAAAATTATTTTTAAATTTTACTTTGGTCAGGAAAAGCTTCTATAGCCACCATTGTCTTCACAAAGTGTGTCAAATGAGAATATTCCGACAAAGATCAAAAAGAGGAAGAAGACTAAAACAAGGAAGAATAGACGGATGAGTTTTTTGCTCCTTAGACTAATGATTTTTCTGGCTTTAAATTTTGCCATTTATTTTTATACAAAATATTATACTGTTTCCTATTTGTTGGTAATTCTCTGGGGTTTTGGGGTTTTGGGGTTTTGGGGTTTTGGGGTTTTGGGG